TTCAGCTCCAGATCTAAAGCCTTTGAAAGGAGGGTGAGGTGGGGGTGGGGGTGGAGGAAGGAGAAATTACCGTAGCATCAATAACTTTAAAAAAAAAACCATTGGACATAGTAAGAAGTTCTGGACTCTAATCCCTGCTCTTCCATTGGATTCCCATGTGACCTTAGATAAGCTTCTATTTCCTCACCTGTAAAATGGGTTGATGGTAATGATACTTGTCCCAATTATCAGGTTTGCAGATAATACACAGCACTATATGACACATGTTGAAAACACTTTGAAAAGTTCTAAGGGGGCATCATCACCATTTGTAATCTGGATCTCAGTCACACAGCCAGCATAGAAGGATTGGCAGAACCCAAGCAACTGGAGCTTAAGGAGGATGGAAACTCATTCTTGTCTCGACATCCAAGAACTAGGAAGCTTTCAGATTCACCAGCCTCTTAAGAAGCTGAGCCTGGAAAAGCTGGGGTAGAGAAAGGCAGGATGGTACAAGGTAAGGGGTCCTAGAATCATGGGAGTCAGACTCACATTTAATCATTTTGCGATGTTGAATAAGTCCCTCCACCCCACCCCCCACTTATTGGCTCAGTTTCTACCTCTGTTGAATGAAGTGTTTGGACAAGATGCCCCCCCAAGGGTGGTTTTCAAGCTCTCACAGCCTACAGCCCTAATCTATTGTATCTCTAGAACCTTTTTAGTAGGTAGAGGGTACTCAAAGAAGGTAATTCACAGCAGTTACAAGACTGCCCTGGATTTGTCCAGAACTTGTCCTATGAACAGGCAGATTATTGCTGGTTGAGTCATTTCAGTGATGTCTGACACTTCATGACCCTATTTGGGGTTTTCTTGGCGAAGACACTGGAGTGGTTTACCATTCTCTTCTCGAGCTCATTTTACAATTGAGGAAACTGAGGCAAACAGGGTGAAGTGACTTGCCCGGGGGTCACATAGCTAATAAGTATCTGAGGCCAGATTTGAACTCACGAAGATGAATCTTCCTGATTCCAAATCTAGTGCTCTATGCACTGCAGCACCACCTAGCTGCCCAGCTATTTACTGGGGCAGAGGAATATCTCCCCCATTGTGAGATTATGCTTGCATTAAAGCACTGTATCTCCTGAAGGTCGCTGAGCTGGGAAAGCTAGCCTCATCTACTAAAACCTTCCCACAGATTGGTTTATTTAGTCATCCTAAATGTAGACAAACATTGGGTGAATGGGTCACAGAACAGATAAGTTTTGACAGAGGTGCACTGTGATACATTTGGGTGGGGTGCACTGGTGGATGCCCCTGGGCAGGATGGGGTGCTTGAAGCACTGAAAAGGAAAAAAGGAAGCCAATGGAATAGGCTGGCTCACCTGCCTCAGGTTGCCCTTCTGCAAGGCAGGATATCGGTGTGGGTTGGTTCAGCTCTCCAATTCAGTAGACAGGATGCTGGACCTTAGAATTAGTTAGACCAGGGCTCAAATTCTGCAAGCTGCTTACACTTTCTTTGCTTCACTTACCTCCCCTTGGACGGGATGACCTCTAAAGTCTCTTCCAGCTGCCAATCAATAATCCTATGGTCTCTAATTCCCACAGTTCTTGGTGTGGGCCCACTGTTCATGGGCTGATCTCTCTAAAATCAGCCTACTATGTCTGGGTTCTGAGCTCCTTTCAAATCCTGGCCCTGCCACTGACTAACTCTGTGCTCCAGGGGGAGTCATAGTATCTAATGGGCTCAGGCCTCCCCATGTGTAAAACAGAGCCAATACCACCCAGCCTCTGAAGGACAGCTGCACCATTGGGGGACACAGGCATTGGCCTTTGTCTCTAAAGACCTAGATGCACTTTTTTTCCTCTTCCACTTATGAGCTGGATGACCTCAAGCAAGCCAGCTGCCCTAGGCAGGGTTTTCTCCTCAATAAAAATGGTAATAATGTCTGCACAACCTCTCAATTAAGGAGTGTTTTGAAAATGAAATGAAACTTTGATACAAAACATAAGTTAGTATTACTCTGGAAGGATGTCAGATTAAGTGAAGTTGATAAGTGACTTCACAAATCCTTGAATGGCGCTACATGAATTCAAGGCTATTGTCTCCTCAAAAGAAACACACATCTGTGCACACATTGGTCAGGGTGGAGTAAGGCCACATTTTCTGATGCCATTATCTTTTCATAGTGAATCTTGAGACTGTTGCTTTGGAACTGAAACACAGAAAGTGGTAGCTAGTACTAATGAGTCTGTGGCCAGTGGCCTAGTGCCTGGGCCCCTTAGCTTCCTCCTTAGCTGAAAGGAACATGGGTATCCTTTGGTAAGGGAGAAAGCAGAAAAGATACAGTACTTGGTGTAGCTCAGAGGGGACTTGGTGTAAACCCATCCCCACTATTGGATAAATGACTCAGAATGCATGTCCTACTGATAATGGCTCTTTAGTGTCAACTAATTAGATGGAAAATGAAAATTGGAGATTATACAGAGAGACAGACAGACAGAGACAGAGGAGGAGGAAAGAAGGAGAGAGGAGGGAGGAAGGGAGGGAGAGAGAGGGAGAGAGAGAGAGAGAGAGAGGGAGAGAGAGAGAGAGAGAGAGAGAGAGAGAGAGAGAGAGAGAGAGAGAGAGAGGAGGAAGAGAAAGAAACAGAGAGGAAGAGAGAGAAGGAGGAAGGGAGGGGGAGAGAGAGAGGGAGATAGAGAGAGAGAGAGAGAAGAGAGAGAGAGAGAGAGAGAGAGAGAGAGAGAGAGAGAGAGAGGGAGAGAGAAGAAACAGACAGAAAAAGAGGAGGAAGAGAGGAGGGGGGAGGGAAATAAAGAGATAAGAGGGAAGGGGAGAGAGAGACAGGAAGGAGAGGAGACAGAGAATTAGAGATAAAATCAGAGAGACAGAAAAGGAGGAGGAAGAGAGGAGGGGGAAGGAAAGAGATAAAAAGGAGGGAAGGGGAGAGAGAGGAAGGAGAGGAGAGAGAGAGAGATGAAATTAGAGAGAGACAGAGACAGAAAAGGAGGAGGAAGAGAGGAGGGGGGAGGGAAAGACAGAGAGAGAGGAGGGAAGGGAAGGGAAGAGGAGGGAAAGAAAGAAATGGGGAAAGAGAGAAAGAAGGGAAGGAGAAAAAGAGGAAAGAAGACAGAGAATATCATTTGGTAAGGACACTAGGACTCAAACCTGTACTTCAGCCCCAGTGTCAGCTTCTAGGGAATTCCCACTAAGGTTCCTGGTTTCCTAGGTCAGCTATAATCACCTCAGTCGATAGCTGCAGAATGACTAGAATCCATCTCTAACAGGAATTCTACTCTGTAAGAGTGGAGAGGGAGGTTGAGACTTGTTAACTTCACAAGTGAAAACAAAATAATCACATAATAATCATGTATATACAGGCACACAAACACGTTGCCAAAGGCCACCAGAAAAGTAGAGTAGGTACCACCTCCTACAGGAGGCCTATCCTGATAGCCTCAGTTGTCAGGTCTCTGCCTCCCTCTCAGCAAATGACTTGGGACTTACCTGTGTACTGGTTCTTTCACCCAGTGAGAAAGTACATTTCTTGAGGGTAAAGACTCTTTCATTTCTGTCTTTGTAACACAAGCACCCAGCATAGTGTCTGACATACAGTAGGCACTCAATAAATGCACATAGAATGATTGCTTTACTCCAACCCTATTTACATCACCTGTATAGCTAGAAAATAAGAACTATACAGATGTCAACAAACTCTTACAAGGAAATCTCTTCTAGTGTTTTCTCTCTCAAAGTTCCCTGCCTTTCTTCCCTCTACTCTCCCCCATCCCACCCCACCATGATCTCATTAGGATCATAGAACTGAAATAGAAAGGGCTAAAGTTGGAAAGGGCTTCTCATTTTATCATTTTTTTTGTTCACCAGAGATTTTGTTAATTTTTTTAAATATATGGATTCAATTTGTTTGCACACAACAGACATTTCCCAACACTCAAACAAACCCTTATGCAAAATACCTTTCCTGAAAAGTTAATCCATTTAAAAAAAAAAAAAGGAAAAACCCCCCTCTTTTTGCAGACTGAGGAAACTGAGGCCCAAGAAGGGTTTGGGTTTTTTAAGCCCTTAAAGGAAGCAGTATTGACAATGGAAAGAGCACTAGAATTGGAGGTAGAGGTCCCGAGTTCCAATTTCACCAGTTCGTACTTGTGTAGGGTAAGTCCCTTCACTTCCTCAAGATCCTATTTTCTCCTTTGGAGCACGAGGTCTTTTCCAACTCTAGATGTAAGCTCTTGTGAGTCTATGGGTGACCTTGGGCAAGTCACTCTCCCTCCCTGGGCCTCAGTTTCCTCTTCTGAAAAAGGAGTGGGATGGACCAGATAGTCTCTGAGGTCCCTGTCAGTTCTGGATCGAGGTTCCTACCTAAGAGCACCGGCTTGCCTAGCCGATCCTCGTCCATAGATATGTTCCTTTTCAGTCACGTGGGCTGCTAACCAACATGCATGATATAAATGAAACACGATTACTTTGACTAACTTGTCCCCTGAGAAGGTTGTTTGCATTTTGTTCCTTATCAGCGAAATTAGTCTTGGACAATCGGGGTACCTTTTGGGGTTTGATGATTGAAGGAAAGGTCTGTCCTCTGGGGAATTCTTAACCAATGCATCTTGGAACATCTGCCTTTCCGCTCCATCTCCCTCTCTACTCAGTCTTACTGGGCACACAGGTTCCCCGAGTGGATCTCCCTTTGGGTCAGTCTCTTTAGGGACTTCTCACTGTCTTAGAGCATTGGCGCCCCAAAGCCCGACAGCAGTACCAACCAGCGGCTGGTGTCAGTCTCCCCACCGAGGGCAGGGTGACAAGGGAAAGACGCTCACAGTGGCATGGAAGGAAGCTGGAACAGTCTTACTCAGCTCCCGAGGCCCCCTACCTCGCTCCCACTCGCGCGCCGTTACATTAGAGCGTGTGTTAGTAACGACGGCCCTGGCAAAACACCACTACAGGCACCCCCTGAGGTCTGGTTAGCCGGGGCACGGAGGGCGCCCCGAGACGGGCTACTTACTTCTTGGCTTTCCAGCAGCGGTATGAAGTGGTCATGGTGTCTCTGAGCTGGACCTGGTCTTCCCGGGATCTGCTTGGAATAGTTGGTCCGCTACTCACTCGGATCTCCTGCAGGTCTAAACTATCTGTGCGCGCCAGAGCGCGCCAGCACGCAAACACATGAAATCCAGAGCGCACCCCGACAGGCAAGTTGGCGCCCCGACTAGGCAGGCAGGCAGGCTGAAAGGCAAGCTGAAAGGCAGTCAGGCACACCGAGACAGACAGACAGTCAGGCAAACAGACAGGCAAGACCGGCAGACAGGCAGGCAGGCACCCAAGCGCCCAGCGCTCCGCTACCTCCTTCTGCGCTCCCGTCGGGCTCCTGCTCTGACTAAGCAGCCCAAGCCTCTGCTCTCGCGCCTTAAAAAGGCTGCTGTCGGCCGGGCCAGATAAGGCTCGCGCTGCCCAAACCTCCCCCTCACGCCTGGACAGCTGCCAAAGGGGAAGGGCCGGCCCGTTCCCTCCGTCCGGAGGCACCACAGCTCACTCCTCCTTTCCTCCACTTCCCCCCTCCCTTCCCCTCCCCTCCCCGAGGCCACCTCAGCCCACAGGCGACGGGGCACGTGGCTGTCCTCCCCGGCCAGCCGCCCATGGGGCAAAGAAGGGGGAAGGAGGAGCAGAGGCGCCTCTGCCAAGGTCACAGTCCGGAATCATGGTCGTCCTCCGGAGTAGAAGCCCTAGCTAAGATTATAATCAGTGGGGAGAGGCTTGGGGCTTGGGGGAAACACTGGCAGCGGCCCAGGCCCGAAAAGCAGTTTAAAAAAAAAAAGTTTTGTTGTGTTCAGAAAGTGCAGGACCAGTAGAAGATGCAAAAACAATAAATAGCAATAAAAGTTTTTAAAAGAATGCTGAGGGGTGGTCATAACAGCAACTCTCGTTTATGCAGAATTGAGGCTTCCAAAGAACTTTCTTCGAGGGTGACAGCAAACTGTATACTATTAACAACCCCCTGAACGACTGGGCCACATCTCTAATAAGAAGAGAAATGCACATCAAAGCGGCTCTGAGGTTTCACCTCCCACCCAGCAAATTGGCCAAGATGCCAAAAGATGGAGCTGGTCAATGGTGGAAGGGCCTCGGGAAGACTGAAACGCAAATAAGCTACTGCTGAGGCTACGAAGTGGTACACGCTGTCTGGAGAGCAATTCGCAATTAGGCTAAGAAAGTAACCAACATGTCCAGACCCAGAGAGCCCACTCACTGCTAGGTCCAAGGAGTCACAGACAGAGAGAAAGGTCCTATCTGCGGGAAAATATTCATTTCAACATTTTTGTGGTATAGAGCACTGGAAACAAAACAGGTGGTCATTGATAGGGGAAAGGCTGCATAAATTGTGGTTCAGCTTAAAATCAGAGCTGGAAGGAACCCCAGAGTCCATTTAGATAAGGAAACTGAGGCCCAGGGAAGAGAAGGATGCCCAGGGTCACACAGGTGGTAAACTGAGGCAGAATTTGAACCAACATCCTCTAACTATATTGTGGGACATAAGAAACAAAAGTGAAGACGGAAGGAAGGAAGGAGAGAGGGAGGGAGGAAGAAAATGAAACAGAGAAACAAAGAAACAAAGGAAGGAAGGAGGGAAGAAAAGAAAGTGAAGCCCATGTAATTAAAAAGGGCGAACTTGTATGTGCCTGGAGAAGAGTTGCCAAGGCATCTGGGTGTAGAATCTTGTGTGTGGACTGTTAGACTTGGGGAAATGTGTTGCTTAGTTTTGCTAAGCAGCTTGCTTCCCCTCTTCCATTTTTAATCTTTTTTACAAGGGGAGGGGAGGGGCAAGAGATCTGTTTGGAAATAAAGGTGATGTAAAAACAAAAGATATCAAAAAAAAATTAAGAGCAAATAGGGATTTTTTTAAGCAAATAGCTATCTTTACAACATCTCTGTGAGGTAGACTTCATTTTACTGAGGAGGAAACAGGCTCAGAAAGGGCTAGGGTCCCACAGTTGGGAGGTGACAGGATAGGAACCCTGAAATCCTAACTCCAAGGAGAGAGAGAAAGACAGAGACACATAAAGACAGAGAGACACAGAGACACAGAGGGAGACACAGAGAAAGAGAGACAGAGACAGAGAGATAGAGACACAGAGAGAGAGACAGAGACAGACACAGAGACACACAGAAAGATACAGACACAGAGAGACACATACATAGAGACACGGAGACAGAGAGATGCACAGAGAGACAGAGACACAGAGAAAGAGGCAGAGACACAGAGACATACAAACACACAGAAAGAGACACATATAGGTGCCTACTATGCACTAGGCTCTGGAGATACAAAGACAAAAAATAAATGGCCATCTCCCTCAAAGAGTTGACACTGGAGCATCAGGGCTGGGGAGGGATGGGGGGATACGACTCATATACAGATAAGTACATCTATTCGAAGTAATTTTGGAAAGGGTGCACAGCACTAAGGGGCAGGGATGGGGTGGCGGAGGGAAGGATCAGGGATCCCACAAGGGATCCCTTGTGTAGGAGGCAGCAATTGAGCTAAGATTTGAAGGGATCTAGGGACCACAGGAGAGGAAGAGGTGAGGAGGGAGTGCATTCTAGGTATGGGGGACAGCCAGTGCAAAGGTACAGAGGTGGGAAATGAAGGGTCAGCTATGGAGAACAGTAAGTAAATCAGTTTGGCTGGAATGGAGGCTATGAGAGAGGGATCTAACCTGGGTGTAGGACAAAGAACAAAGAGAATCAAGAGACCTGAGTTTGGGGTTACCGTGGTTCCCTTCCTGGGCCTCAGACCCCATCTGTAAGATTAGGAAGTGGACTAGATAAGCTCTAAGCTTCCGTCCAACTCTGTGGATGCGTGATCTCAAATAAATTGGCAACAAAAAGAAACCCAAGTCTGCTTACAGCCTGACTCTAGAAAAAAAGTGGCTAATAATACTAGGTAGAATTTATTAAGTGCCTGCTGTGTGCCAGACACTTTACAAATCTCTTATTTGACCCTCACAACAACTCTGGGAGGAAGGTGCTATGATTATCCCCATTTGATAGATGAGGAAACTGAGGCAAACTGAGGTCAAGTGACTTGCTCATAATTAGAACTCAGGTTTTCCTGACTCCAGGACTAGCCCTCTATCCAGTGCACCATCTAGCCTCAAGATAAAAGTCCTAATCGTGGTAGCTCCATGCTTAAAGAGGTAAGCAGGTACCTCCAGCTCTCTTAATGAGGGGCCCTGGCCCTACAGAGGAGATAAAGACACACAGCTTCCTGCAGATGGTACTTGTCTGGTACAAAACATTTCACTGCTTGGGATTATGCTCTAGTTGTTTTCCAGGTATCTGCCTTCCTTAGCCCTCCCACGTAACCCTAACTGAAACCTTCACCCTCTCTCCCCGATAGGAGCCAATGAATGAGTTATGAGCAATGGGTGCAGAGGAGAAGAAGGTGACATTGGGGATGAAAGGGGTAAAAGGTTTATGTCAACTTACATATGACCCTGGTATGCTCACAGCAATCTAAGTGGAGTGACATCTCAAGGAGATGAGGAGAATGAGATAAATGTTTGTACAGAGCCATCCAGTCAAGGATCTCAAAGCACCTTCAAAGGGAGGCAGGAGAATACAAATGGAATGTAAAGGTCCCTGGCCTCTTGGTGGACCCCTGGGGGAAAGAGTTACACAGGATGGGGGGGGCATTTTTCAAGGATAGACCCTCATGAGGTCACAGATCCATTTGGAGCATTTGAATCTAGAATAACAAGGATTGAATAATTATTGGGTGTATTGTTGGGAGGGGGGGCAAGAGGTACTTCTGTCTAGTGAGAGTGAGGTTACTCCCTTCTGAGCTCCTATATTCTGCGATGATTTCTAAACTAGGGCTTAGCCACAGAATTTTTTTAATCAATAAATAAATGCTACGGGGTTTTTAACAATAGAAATCCCCCCCCCCAACACTACCTATGTGGCCTGGAGCAAATCCCTCCTCCCTGGGCCTCAGTTTTCTCCTCTGTAAAATGTGGGGATTGGACTAGACCAGGGGTGGGGAACCTGTGGCCTCGAGGCCACATGTGGCCCTCTGGGTCCTCAAGCGCGGCCCTTTGGCTGAATCCAAACGTCACAGAACAAATCCTTTTATTAAACCTTTTCTTCTCTTTTCAAACCCCCCACGGCTCCTCCTCCCCACTCCAACCTTCTCAGCTAAGAATCTTGCCTCATATTTTACGGAAAGAAAAAAAGATAGGCCATTGTCTATGAGCTCTATCTTCTCTTTTCCTCATCTCCTATCACTCAGGTGCCTTCTGTCACTATCTCCTACTTCACCCTTGCCTCACACGATGAAGTGACTTACTCCTTACTGAGTCTAACCTCTCTACCTGCTCAAGCGATCTTATTCCAATTACATCTGTCCTCCATCAGATTGTCCCTTCTGACATCCCCCCTCTATCACTTATTTTTAATCTGTCCCTGTCTACTGGCTCCTTCCCTATTCCTCCTCAGCCTCCATTGCTGAGTCCTCATCCAGATCACATCCTGTAACTCTAGGTGTCCCCCAGAGTTCTGTCCCGGGCCTTCTTCTCCCTCTATACAACTGCTTCACTTGGTGATCTCATCAGTTCCCATGGATTTAATTACCATCTCTGTGCTAATTATTCTCAGATCTACCTGTTCTGCTTCAATCTCTCTGCTGATCTCCAGTCTCGGAATCTCCAACTGCATTTCAGACATCTCAACTAGATGGCCAGTAGACATCTTAAACTCAACATGTGCAAAACAGAACTCATTATGTTTTCCCCTAAACCCTCCCCCCCTTCATAACTTCCTTATTACTATAGAGGGCAATACCACCCTCCCAGTCCCTCAGGCTCACAACCTAGGAGTCATCCTGTACTCCTCACTATCTCTCACCCCCCCCCCGTATCCAACCTGTTACCATATCCTGTTGATTTCACCTCTGCAACATCTCTAGGACATGCCTCCTTCTCTTCTCTGACACTGCCACTCCCCCCACACACACACCATGCAGGCCCTCATCACCTCACACCTGGACTATTGCAGTAGCCTGCTGATGAGTCTGTCTGCCACAAGTCTCTCCCCACTCCAATCCATCCTCCATTTAGCCACCAAAGTGATTTTCTTAAAGCACAAGTCCAATCATGTCACCCCTACTCCCACTCAATAAACTCCAGTGGCTCCCTATTGCCTCCAACATCAAATAAAAAATCCACTAGTCAGCAGTCAGAGCCCTTCACAACCTATTCCCCTCCCATCTTTCCAGTCTTCTTACACTTTGTTCCCTACCATATTATCTTTGATCTAGTGACGCTGGCCTCCTGGTTGTTCTACAAACAAGACACTCCATCTCTCAGCTCTGGGCATTTTTTTCTGGTTGTCCACCATTCCTGGAATGCTCTCTCTCCTCAACTCTTCCTCCTGGCTTCTCTGGCCTCCTTTAAGTCCCAGCTAAAATCCCATGTTCTACAGGAAGCCTTCCCCAACAGCTCTTAATTCTAGTGCCTTTCCTCTGTTAATTAATTCCTATTTATCCTGTATATAGCTTTGTTTGCACATATGTTTGCTTGCTGTCTCCCCCATTAGACTGTAAGCTCCTTGACAGCAGGGACTGTATTTTGCCTCTTTTGGTATCCCCAGCGCTTAGCACAGTGCCCAGCACATAGGAGGTGCCTAAAAAAAGTTTATTGACT